CGGGCACTGGAGTGTCTTCACTTGGATGCCAGGAAGTATATAATATGCAAAAGTCAGTTATTTTGAATACATGCCGTATTGTCAGAAGCCAACTGAACCTTCAGTAAAGCAACCACACACCTGGTCATCATTCCTGTCTGTGGTTGACATACCGACCAGTAGATAATGTGAATAATGTAGATAATAATAATAATAATAATAATAATAATAATAATAATAATAATTAAAAATAATAGAAACAATTTAGGCCTTTATTGAGAATTATTTTACTAAATTGTTTTTACTTCAAGCAAAAATTACATTATTTAAAGATATACTTTTTTAGACCATATTTTATTAAAGAAAATTTTAACATTGACGTTTCGCAGCATTACGTAACTTCCTCAAGTCTACACTCTGTAAATGATAAAGTGAAATTCACTGTATTCTTTGAATTTTTGCAACTTACATGATTCCAACGAAGAATATTATCATTTCAAATGAAATAATAATGCTTGAAATTTAAAAAAGATCTCAAGTTGTTTCTGAACAAATATGGGTATTTTTACTGCATTTCTTGTTCTGTCCTGCTATCCAGTTTTGTTGAATTTGTTAAAGAGAGTTAGTGAGTTAAAGTGGATCTTGTTCTGCAAATTTGTATTCCTCACACAACTTAGCTTGCAAGTGAACTTCCAAAACCAGGAAAATTTTATGAAAGTGTTGGAGTTTAAATATTTTTAAATATTAAAGTATTTTTATTTTATTTTATTTATCAAAAATATGTGACATAGGAAAAGAATAGGTATAAATTTCTACAAGATACTGACTACTTACTTCCATTTCTCCAATTTGAAATTTAGTAATAAAAATCCCCTTCTCTTCGCAAAGAAATTGTGTGTTGTGCAATGGAATGTGAAACATTTAATTTATCTTTATTTGGACATAAAAAGGTACGTTTGTGTACATATACATGTACTTAAACTTTTTGTGTTCATGATGCAAAGAAGCAAACCAAAGGAATTGCTTTTCCATCTGACATATTCGCTAACGTACAAAATTTCGAGAAAATATATCCTTTTGTATAGAATTTTTGAGCTCTGATGATGATGATGATGATGATGATGTTGATTACTATGCAATTGAAAGATTCTTAAGCTAATAAAATGCAACTGCAACTATCTAGGCTGCATTAGTTCATTAATTTAAACTGGAGGAATTCTGCAAATTTATCAAAATTCCCTCAAAGAAATTATCAAGTTTTTCATATGGGTCTGCAAAGTATATCATTAGCAATTAATAATAATTACACAAGCCAACAAAAAAAAAGTTTCAAAACACATTTTAAATCTTGATGAGTGATTTCTATAATTTTTTGGGTGCTGTATCCACGTCTGAACTGTGTTCATTTCCATCACCCACAGTTTAGTCACAATTTGATCTAGTCATATGGGAAAAATGCTAAATATACATTAAAAATGAAATGTAAATGACTTTTAAAATACCAACAGAACTTTATTTAAACATAGAAGATGGCTTTTTATACTTAACATTACATTATACAAAGGCTTTACGTGTCCATTGACGTATATTTTCATTGTATTGGGGATCAAACATCATTTTTCTCATAGCAGGCTCAATGAAGAAACCCTCTTTTAATCTTGCTTAAGACAATTGTGGAATCTTCTTATAAAGGTCCAGACTACGGGCCAAATTACAGATTGTAAGTTACGGTACTGAATCACATTTTTTGTTTTTTGAGTTGTAACTAGTAATACCAATGCAATAAAAGCAGCTAATCATCTTAATGTTTCCTTGACTCCCTCCATACCATTGGAATGGCAAATCTAAAGGATGCTTTCACCTTTTTTGACCATTTTCTAAGGTCTTCTACACGAATATATCATAGTTTATGTGGCTCTCAAGATTTGCCCTGATCCCCAAGTTTAATTCCAAAAGATAAAAAATACACATTTGTAAGTCAGTAATGTTCTTTCAGTGTTTTTAATCACAAATTCACCTCAAATATAACAAAAACTGTCAGGGTTGTTCTTACTGGTCACAACTAGCCATGTCTGAACACTAACTGCTAAACTATTATCTTATCTTGATAGCAATGCAAACATGTGCGCCTCAAATAAAAGAAATCCGGTTCTGCTTTTCAAATGCAACTCTGACTGAAACTGTCACACATATCGATGTGGAAGGGATCACAATGTAGATATATTTTATCAAATGTATACTACCATCTTTGTCATCCTAATACTTTCTCATTGTAACTTCCTGCATCTCATATAGTTCTAGAGACTCAGAGCTGCATTTGTCTACCGATACAGAGAAAATGTTAAATTGTGAACATAAAGTGGGTGGGCACAGCATTTTTAATGTAATTTTTGCAATCAGCACACTAAAAATATTAAGAATTAGGTGAATACACTCAAAGAGTTTTTTAGCCCTTGGCCTGTGTTGTTAGTGTATGCAGACATTAAACAGCATTGAAATAAAAGGAATTATTGAAAATATTTATGGTTTTTTATTGATATGTCAGAAATAAATTGATCTTGGACAACAATTTTATGAAAAAATTACACCTCACTCAACACATCAGTTTCGTTACAATCAATTTAAAAACAACCTTTGGCTTCAAAAATTTAAAAAGGTTGAATTTTTGTTACTTTTATCTAGAAACTAAAAATATATCTTTTCAAGAACTACCATAAGGTGAAGCTATACATGTGACATGCAAGACTTACTTTTCCTAAAGCTCCCATGGTACTGCTGAATCAAGTAATCTACTTCAAAAATAAAATAAAAAAAACAGAAACAATTATTTATGTACTGTAATTGATTCATTTTCGTTCACACCTTCTTGCATGGAATTCAATATTTGCATTCAATCTGTTCTTAAATACCTGAAAAATAACAACATAATGGCAGGTATCAACCTGAACTGTGTGTTATGTTAAAAGTTAAGTCGAAACTCAGAGGAAAGATTTTCTACTGAAGGCTTTAAGATAAAGATCTCTAATAGTACATTGTGCTCATTAAAATATTTTGTTTTCAATTCCATGTTAAATCATTTACAATAATTGATCAACATTAAGAAAGGAAATACTTGTTTCCATGACAACAGTTTATGAAAATTGCTTATTTCAGTGATTATGAATTTTTCATGTGTGTGTCTTTAAAGCAAATTGAACAAATTAGTTTGAAGGATGATATTAGATCATATCTCATTTCAAATGCAACTTATATAGTTTGTCATATTAAATATTTCGTCTTTTTCATTTCGGCAATTTTTTTCCAATATTTGTATCTAGGAAGAGGTTTTGTAATGATTTTTCCTACAACAAAAGCACAAGTCCTTCTAGATATCAGTATTATGAAGAAATGCATTTATCTACAATTCACTCATTTGCATGAATATAAAAAGGAATTGCCAGTGTTTGCCCACTCTTTTATTTTTGTTTTAGTGTTTCCTGTCGTGTAGAACATTTCAACTTTCCTTTGTTATTTTTTTTTATCATTTTCTTTTAAAACAATGGAGGATTAATTATATTTTATTTCATCTCTATGTTTATTGTTACAAAAGAGGACTTTACAGATTGCAGTCATGACTCTCTTTATCATTTCCTTAAAATGATGATGGTTATATGATTATGTTATAAATTAGTTTTATATTATTTATATCTAATGAATTTCTCATGATGTCACATGAGGATACAGATCCCTGTTTACTTACTTATTTCTGTTTGTGCTTCTGGCTCGAAACAGGAAACAAATAAATGAGTCATTATTATATATAGTCAGTTTCAGATTGTAACTAGCCAGTCATAGCAAAATGGATATATTCAAATTTTAATAATAAAATAAGAAAACATTCATTGAACTCTGACAATTTCAATTATATTTGAGACTATTAATTATCATAAAAATCAACAAAATATGTTTGAAGTAATTTTTTCTTGGGAAACTTTCAATATTTTAAAATCTTTTTTAAAATCTTAAAGAATAACATATCAGCTTAATAATTCAACATTAACATTAAATTTGGATAAATAATGAGTCAATAAGTTTCAAAACATGTTTGCAGGCTGATATTATGAATCTTTTTAGAGAACATTTTGATATATAATTTTGTATGTTGAATAAAAGTGTACATAGCTGAAAATTTTCACAATATAATAATTCCTTTCTGGACCCAAAGAATTGTTTTAATATAATATACATAAAATGCATATATACGCGCAAGAAGGCAACAGTTATGTTTTTTTGCAAGAATATTTATTTATAGCAAGAAGTTGTGCTATAATGTTCTTTTGAATTTATATATATTTGAATATAACTTATAATACTATAAGATTTGAAAAGAAGATCATGATAATAGCAAATTATTGAATAGGTTTTCATCTTTGAATTAATGTGTTCTTGAGCAGTGTGAATTAGATCTTGAGCTTCTTTGGTCAGACACAAAGTAGTTTAGAAAATTTGTTCATTAAGTTTTTAAACTTTTTAAAATTACATTTTTTTTTTAAAATAATTCATTGATACCAAATTAATTACGCCTTAAAGGTGTTTGTTTGGAGATTGCAAAATAAATGTTTTAATTGATAATACTTGCAAATTTTGTAGCACCTTTTTTGTGATAATGGCTGCATAATTTCTCTGTATTATCTTACCATGTTTATTTGCCTTTAGAACAATTTTTTTCTCCTTCAAAGTCATTTTTATTTTATATCAAAGTAACTTAACAATTAAAGAAGACAACTTTAATTGAATTCATGCAACTAGAAGAAACTTTATTCATCTTTATTTTATAGTAACAGCAATAAAATCACAGCTTTGGTTTATGATGTTATAATGTTCATTTGAGCATGTAAGTACTCGAATCTTTAAATTAAATATTTTGCCTATATATACATATATTATACGTTTGAATCTGCCATATATTAAGTATTTTTCGATAATAATTTCACTGCTCATAGGTAATATTTAGTAATTACTATTAAGATACTGTCATTACCTGATCGCTTGCTGAAAAAACTCTAAAATAGTTTAAATATTATTTTGTAAGACTTAATTTTTATAAACATTTCTTTGAGCAATTGCATCACTTAATGAGAAATTTTGATTTTACATTTGTACCCTGTTTTTGTATTTGGCCAATACCCTTTACAAATGTCTTCTTTGCATTATAATTTGGGATTTTTTTTTCCTCCCCTAGGGCCAAAAATTAAAACATACATTAGAAGTGTCTCAACACATTCAGATATACAATTATTGTTTACAATTTATTCCTGATCAGTCTTGAAATTGCAAGATTGATTGAAAGGAATTTTTTAATCATGAGATTGCACTTTTATGTTCAAACAGGTATAGAGACAATGATACAAGACTTTATTATGTAGTACAAATAACATTTTTGAATTCTTAGAATTACTCCTAATAAATATTCTGTTTACTTCTTATTTTTATAAATTGATGGATAATATAGAATTGGTTTGGAGAAATCTTTCAAATCAAAGGCCTGATATGTTGGGTTCAGTTGTACTTACTCCTTTAACATTTGTACCCACTTTCACTCTTTCTTTGTTTTTATGACTGAATCATCTTGCAAATCATTTGTCTTTTGAAATATTTTGTTGGGATTTTTCAAGAGGTCTTAGCATTCTCTGCACATTTGTATTTTTTTAATGTACCTTATTTATTATTGGAATGATTCAATGGAATGGTTTGGGTGTTAAATTTCTATATGAGAGTTCAGTATTCTCATTATTTTGTGTGCCTACTATTAATACTTGGCAAGTGAAATGTGCAAGAAGGCAACAGTTATGTTCTTTTGCAAGAACATTTATTTACAGCAAGAAGTTGTGCTATAATTTTGTTTTGGAAATATATTATTTAAGTCTATATTCAGATCAAATCATGCTCATAAAAGTGTCCTATAAGACTAATTTTTAAAATACCTGAATTATTTGCAATTGGGCCCTCATTCTTTTGAGAAAATTTACAAAATATGTCTATTTTAAAAGCATATTTGAAATTCTAATGTGTGAGGTTAGTTCTCACATTTGTTTGTTTTTAACTTATTATCATTATTAAAGATATTAGCAAAAACTTCATGAAGTCCTTGAGAATTCAGAATTAAATTAACTTTAAAAGTTCTGAACATGTTTTTATATTTTTCACAACACATTCAAGGTTTGGCCACCAATATCCATGTACTTGTTATAAGGATGTGTTTAAGAAATTTATGAATGTTTTTTAGAGTATTTGTAACAAATAATTTTTTCTAGCATTTGAAATCTCAATGGATAATGAGGCATTAAAAATATGTGTTGTGTAAACATTTTTTTCTCTCTCTTTTGAAACACTGTGCAGATCATTTGAGAAAAGTGGTATGCATTATATGTGAATCACAAATAAAATGAATTTTTTAATGATGAAATATACAATAATGCTTTGTGCAAATTGTGAGTACAATATTGTAAATTGATGAGCATTGAAAAAATTGACAAAAATAGTTTAATGTGAGAAAGGAATATAGGTTGCACATTTGTATATATTGAACCCTAAATTTTCATGGAGTAATGAAGTCATGAAAATAAAAAGCCTCATCCTCTTTAGTGAATTGATCAATTCACAATGACTGTGATAAATGAGGCACAAAATTGAACTACCACACATAAACCTACAGAATGATTCATCTATAGTACACTTATTACTGAGGATCTTGTGTTGTGCTCTCTGGTAACATCCTTAGTTTCATAAATGTAAAGTGCATAATTATGTTTTTTTTTTATTTTCACTCTTAAGAACAGAATGTTTTTTTGAAATTTATTTTCTTCTTTAGTTTGTGAAGTCACATTGTGCATGTTTAGGAGGCAAAAGTTGACCAGCTGTGTTTTTTAATGCAACTCTTTTAAGTTTGCATTAGTTATCATAAATTTAACAATTATATTTTGTGTTTTGAAAATTTAATTTTAGAACAGAAAAATGCAAGGAAATTAATTTGTATACTCAAGTGTCATATGAAAGTGAATTTCTTGCGATATAAATTTTCCTCTTGAGAGTATATCTTAATATACAGGGTATTTATGAAAACATATTTAAATATAATTAGGTGTTGAAGCACAAGAAAAGTGCCTTTCAAAAAAAGAATCAATTGATTACCTTATATTACATTTATTCAATACCATATCTTTTATGGTTTTATTTGAAATATTTGGTTCTTGGATGTCTGATTACGCACGAGGAATTCAGATGATGAAAATTTCAGCATTTTACTGCTTGGCTTGTACTATCTGGTTTACATATCTGCAAAACAGATCTTATTAATTCTTTTCCATAATTTTAATAATGTAACATCAACTTTTACTATCCTTGAATTATTGTGAACATTATCAGATAATATATTTCATCTCAAATTCTGATCTCGACTGGAGAATTATTTCTCTGTGTTACAAGTAAAATAGTACTTCAAAATTTGGAACACAGATTTGAAATAACATTTTTCAACTCTAAAGCATTATTTGTGATTATACTTGACCTCTTGAACTTGTATGATTAGAAAATAATGGGTAATTCCAATCATGTATGAGCAAAATGAAAGCTTCATGGTGAAAGTTATTTAGTGGGACTAAATGTAGTTTATAAATGAAGCTGTTGCAAGTGTGGTAATTTAATAACACTTCCTTCTGTGTGATGTACAAAAGATTTCTCCTCATAGGACCTCATGAAACCCTTTCATTAAAAATAGTGAGGGTAGAAAATTTGTTCAAAATGCAGTTTATGTAGAACAAATAATGGGTTTTTCTTTTTCACATGCCAAAAATGTTGTTTGGTATTTTATGTTACATTGCCTTTGTGTTAATACTGATTTATTATTTTGTGAAGGAGGTTGCTGCTCAGAAGTACTGAAATTGTGTGTGTGTGTGTATGTGGGCTCTGTTATAACGTTTCTCTTGGTCTGTGGGTTTAGTTAAGAAAAGACAGTATAATTGGCTCTCTTAAACCAAATAATAACATTTTATCATACATTCATGAAAAGTATACATTGGTTCATTCACTGCATAACACACTCACACATGTATTTACTCTTAAGTGCTCAAAATAATTTTATTTTGTGGATTGTGTATGAATGTCAGCCATTATGATTTAAAATCATGAAATGCAATTTTAAACATAGTATATGACAAGATTTTTGTGAAAACAATAAATATGTTTACAAGTTCAAGAGATTCATAGTCTTTGGACAGAACTTAATTATAGGATACTGCTACCTGAGTTAAAGTCTTCTTTAATTTATTTATTTTAATGCTTATTTTCATATTTAAATAGAAATAGTACGTCTGTGGTAATTCGGTCAGTAGTGAAATTTAGCCATTAAATGCACGGAAGCATGAAAGAAATTGAAGATAGAATCTCCCAAGTTATGTAGTGTTTAACATTTATCTAATTTATGTAACAGAATCTTACAAAAATTAGAGGTTGATGAGGATGAATTAATCCTAGAAATTTGTGTGGCACAATCTTTGTATGAACATTGCTCGCTTACGCACATAAAGGTATGTTACACTGTTGTGTATAATAATTAAAGTATCCAAACATGAATAATGTTAATCTCAATAATATTATCTGAATTTATCTAACTCACCTAAGGGCCATATATAAGGAATTTTTTAAATTTTAGACAAGATAAAATATCTTGGGTTCTTTTTTGAGTTTTACTGAGGCCCGTCTTTGTCTAGAAATCAGTGAAATTTCTAGATGATTCTTTGGTCATCTCAAGCATGCAGTACTTTTTATTTCATATGTCAAAGCTGGTTTACTTTACCATCTTTCCCCATATATTTCTCTTTACATACTGTGTTTCAAATCGTATGCAAGTTCATGAACAGATACACATTTTATAAATAAAATTTAGAGAGTTACGATGGCAAAGTAATTTTCTGATTTCCACTTTTTTGAATTACATTTATCTGACTATTTCTCTTCTTGACTTTATGTCTGAGGCGGGGTCCACTGATTGTGTTTCTGAAGACAAAATAGAGAAAAAGTGTACAAAATGTGACCCTTGTAGACGATATGCATTCTTATTTGGATTTTGCTATTTAAGTTAGAGGCATTGAGGCAGAATATGCTGACTTCTGACAAATTAATAAAGCTAAAAGTATTTTTCATTCATTCAGAATTGGCATTGTTCATTATTAAAATTTTGGAGTTCCTACAAAAATTCATCTTCTCCAATTAGTGGCCATTATCATAAGTATTTGAAGAAATGCACATATGTCAGTATACATAATCCATGTTATGAAAATCAAAAACATCAAGTGAAAATAAATATTCCGACATTTTTACACTACTGGTCTCAACAGGATTTCACAAAATATTGAGTAAACGAAGGTCTTGTAAATTGTAAGAATACAGGAAACAGAATTGTCTTCATGTAAGGTGAAACAGACACATGATACAAACACTGAAGCATGTTGAAGTGCACCCTTTGAAAAGCAGATTTTAACAATTAGCCCTACAAAATTTGTGATGAATCTTCTTATATAATTATAAAAATTTTTGTTATTCTTTCTTCTCAAGCAATGTGTATAATCTCATTTAAAAATTATAAAACATTCCATCATAACATTTTCATTTCTTGATGTAAGTGTGCAGTTGTTTACTATACTCAGAAATAATGCTGCAAAACTTTTCTGTCCCACTAATAATTAGTTAATGCAATGCAATGCAGGTTGAAAATGTCATTAATTGACTTTTTTGCATGTTGCACACTGATAGAGAGCTCAATGAGTTATGGCTTGCACTCATTCCTTTATTTTCTACTTTTTGATCGAAAGGAAGCATCGTCATTGTTCCTCTGATGGTTGTGATCCTAATCGTGTTTAGCACATCCGCTCCGTGTGTGCACAGTGAATACGCGACGTGTTTGTATCATGGGCGAACTTCGGAAGCCTCTCTGTCACGGCCCCACACCGTCTCCCCAGCCATCGCACAGAAGGGCTCCCCGAGGGCGTGAACAGGCGGTCCACGAACGGAGGCGCGCGGAGGGGCCCCCGGCCAACGCCCTCGCCGCCGTCAGCGAGCGGCGTCCCTTCGGATGCGTGTTTCAAGTGCTCCCGAGATTCACAACATTTGCTCTGTTTTCCATTGGTGACGTAAGGTGGGGCGGATGGGGAATATGCTTGGATTTCTTCGTAATCAGGGGAGTGGCATTGTGTGAGAGTGCTGTCGCGTCCCTGGCCCGTCCTTCCTCCCCAACACCTGCCTCCGTCCGCGGGCCGCGCTCCGCCTAGTGGCGCGTGAGGAGCAGCGCGAGCCCCGCGGTGGAGCACGAGCAGGCGCGGGCGCGTGCGGCGGCGGCGGGGGCGGCGGCGTGCGGCGGCGGCGGGGCGCCGGGGTGGCGCGGCGGCGGCGCCGGCGGGCGGGTGGCGGCGCTGGAGGCGGGGCGGCGCGGCGTGGCGCGGCGCCGGGGCCGGCGCCGCTGTGCTCGATGGGACGAGTCCTCGTCGTCCGGGGGCGGCGACGCGCCGGCGGCGGGACGCCGAGGCGGGGGCGGGCGCGGGCGCCGGCGCCGACACGGCCGCTGCCGACGCCGGCCCGTTTGACAGCCACGCGTTGCACCGCGGCTGCTCACAGAAGCAGTAGTTGATGTTGTTGAGGCGGTAGCAGTTGTTGCCGGCGTTGTCCGCGTTGGAGCACGAGCGCGCCACGCGACCCTTCCCTGCAACAGGGGACGGCCATGCGGCCGGGTTAAGGCCGGGGACCTGGGCTTCGAGCGGAGAGAGGAAAAAGGCAAAAAGCTTTAAAAACAAACGAGATGATAGGTCGAATCACCATGATGAATTAGAGAATTCAGAATCCGACATTCAGGCCTCATATTGTGAGAAAATAATATGTATATAGAAATTTAAAATTGTAAGTAAGTAAATCAAGTTATGTCAAAGTAGATGGCAAGGGGTCAGAATCTTATTTCAGTGTTTGTTTTAGAAGAGGCGTTGGAGTACATAAGGACGTTTTATATTTACTTGTCTTTTTTACGCGGAAATTACAACCTTTGTACTATTGAGACTGCTTGGGGTCCAAGCTTGAGACTACGTGAGTGCCCTTTAGACGTAAGAGTTCACACAGAAGACGTACTTCTCCGATATTCTGATACTTTCTAAACGATATGCCCAGAATATTTAGCGCAGAAGCAAAAATTTCGCTATAAGTTGGATTCCCTGACAATTTCAGAACTTATTCGTATAATATCAAATTTCACTTTCATTGTCTGCTGTGCTTAAAAAATAGTTTCTGCAAAGAAAATTTCTGTGAAATTAACTTGTTGTAATTGTCAGAATCCATGAGCTCACAAGCGTTTCCTATTTTATGGTCAGTGCAATCTACTCCTTTCGGTCCACATTTTTTGATTTAAAAGCATTACGTATTTTCAGTTCATAATCTATAAAGGACAATTGAAGTTGTTAAGATTTAGAAAAAGATAATACGACGTTCACTTATTGACTCATTTATACTGAATTCTTTATAAATTAATTATTTTCAAAACAGTAGAATTAGTTTGAGACAACTTTCATTTTCTTCGGAACAAACCAAATCGCGTCAATTTTTAGTTGAATTTTATTTGAATTTCGTAGGAAAAGTTAATGAGTGTGCTATTAAATTCATGCGACATGGTTAGCCGATATATGAGCGTCTCCAACTTATTGTTTTCCAATGTCCATTAATCGGTATTTTCAAATCTTTTTCCTGTTAAAGCAATCAGATTGTTCGAAGTTTGATTACAAAGCGACGGAAGCCCAGTTTTACGTCAAAAGTTTTAACATATTTCTTTTCCTCTGGACGTCATTTTGCATAATGTGATTAAGTTTGGTGATCTTAATATTGACGTAGTTTCATAAAAAGGAATGCGTCACAGGATCGAATGAGTCATTTTGTGACGAACATATTGTCATTATTTGCGAATTTAATAGTTCGTGAGATGCATCAGATACCTCGTGACATGGAGATAATTGTCCGAAATCATTTACGTCATACGGGAATAACGATTTCCGGAAATCCCCCATGTTGTGTGGTTGTTACGTGCTCTTTCGACATTGAGATGAACATTGTTGAATGAATTTAACTTGAACTTTGTGTGTGACACAAAGTTATAACATTATTGGAATATACGTATTATATATCCAGATAAGACATAACTTCACGAGTGTGGCACTATCATTGTCTTCTTGATTTGCAGAAAAAAGTTATTATTGTATAGTGTTATTATAGTATTGTTTCACAGCTGTGTACTACTCTTTATATTTCATTGGTTTTGGAGGATCTGCAAGCCATGTTAAATTTTCAGGAAAAGAATCAATGTGGTTTGTGATCGGTGCACTTCAGAGATCTCATTCAAATTGAAAGCTCTTATTTTGGCATACTTAGTAAATGTTGGTATTATTACATCTATATAGAAATTTCGCACCCAAGGTTGGTGAGTAAGTTGATGAGTAGGTGATGTACGTGATAATGAACCTCAAAAAACGGATATGGTCTCTAGTGTCCACCACAACTTGCACTTTTAGTGACCATATGTGACGGCTCTTTATGGAAAGGGTTGCATCGTGTTCTGAAAGACAGGCCTGCACGTCGTAGATTTAATTTGGTTTGTTTAAAGAAGAAACAAGAACAAACAGTCACAACTGTATGTGTCGTATGGGGGAGAAATGTAATCTGGGCCCGTTTTCTTGAGCTTCTTAATTCCCCTACTCTCCCCTTTTACTAGTTAAATAATGAAGAAAGGTACTAATATAGTGTAGTTAGCAACATTTGAAAACTATAAATATTATATAATAGAGAATTTACAAAAATCGGTAAACGAACTGCAGTTTTGATTTTGTAGTATTGCTAACAAAAAAGCAACTCATACACCTTTCTCGCATTCCAACCAGCACAAGGGGAGCTCAACAAATCGCCCGAATAGTGAAGTTACATTTACGTCCAGAAGCAAACCAAGGGATTGGAGGGTATCATGATTGCAAGGGACCGCCTCAACATATTCTCAATAAATCAAGGCAACTGGTAAAAAAAATAAAATATTTAAAAAAAATGATTGAAAGGGGGGGGGGTAATGGAGGCTGCGCCGAAGCTCAGTGCTCACCGTCCTGCTCCTGCATGCAGCCGAAGAAGGGCTCGCAGCGCCGCCGGAAGCGAGCGTCGTCCTCGGAGAAGCCCTGGCACGACGGGCTGAGCTCCGTCGACGTCGCGGCCGCCTGCGGCTCCAGCGCCATCAGGCCGCCCTGCGGCCCGCACACGTAGCACTCCGCCCCCGACGCCGACGCCGACGCCGCGGCCGCCCCTGTCGCACAGCGTGAAAGCGGGCGGCGTAAGTGCGAAGGATTTTGAGGCAAAATCGCTTGCAAACGCCAGCACATAGCACTTTGTGCACAAGAAAGGAACACATCGCAACATTGTTCATTTTAGTTCAAAGGAGGAGTTTAGTTCATATGAGGAGTTTGTTATCAAAACCAGCGCATTCTATTATTTAACAACATTAACTTTTTATTGCATTTTTGGTCAGTTTAGGGGGCTCCTTTGCAAGTATACGCCCCTAAAATTTGTCGAAAACATATCTCGTTCATGTGGAATCGTGTATGGAGGCGAGGATATTTTTGCTAGTCGGTAAAATGTTAGCAAATGCTGTGAGATCGTTTATAAAAATTAGATATCAAGCAAGCATTTCATTTTTAATAGTAAAACCTTCAAAAGGAAAATGTAGTTCACAAGACAGTTTGTATACGTGGTAAAATAGGGAGCAAAATAAACGACTTCGCTCAAGTTAAAACGGCTCTTCTGCGAAAAGACAATTTTTGATAAATGCCACTTTTCATACACTCGTACAGCGACGTCCTGGGGATAGATGGACCGAGTTGGAGCCCCTATCACCGCATCAACACACTTGTTTAAGGTACAGCGAACATTCGTATTCCGCAAATTTTAAAACATGTTCGAGATTCGTAGCTGGATTATCTTAGCTTTCTTCGTATTTTGAATTCGTTATTTCCAAACTTATTTTGTTACTTGCTTTCTCAACTATATGCTTCCCTCGTATAATTTGTACTTTAATATTCATAAAATGGTTGGAAGAGACAACATTAAAAATTTCCATTCGTAACGTATTTGTATAATTTTTGGTAATGGAGAATGCATTCATTGTCTGGTTTAATTATTACTATATACAATTCAGCACTTAAACTATTTTAGTTACTTAAGAGTTTCTTAAAATATCAATGTTGGCTGGTTTTACTTGTAATGCAAATTTAACACATTTGACGTTGTTAGTGAGATTACATAGAGAGTTAGGTATATTTGATATTTCAAAGATTCGTGAACCAATTACCATTTGAAGCGAAAAAATGATTCTTTGCACATCTAGATATTGCATTTGATTGTTAGAATGTAATACTTTATTTTTTATTAATGGAAAACTTTGTCATATTGTATTATTAACTGGTGCGGAGTGTCAATAGGCAGCTGTTGAACCTCCTTTAATAAAAGCTCCCTTGCAACATTTCAGTTCTTGCAACAGTTTCCATTTAAGAGATAACACGTTGAATTTCTTTACGCCCTGAATTGTGCTTCATTGAAAACACCAACTTCCTAGAGGGTGCTGAAAAATCGCTTCCTATCCTCAGGAAGAAACGAAGAGTATAGTTAAAGTTGTGTTGTAAAGTCACTTGAGGGACGAATCCATAGGGAGGGGCTAAGGCATAAAATGTTTTAAAACAAACAATTAAATTAACTATTTAACATATATATTAATGATATTTTATTAATATATAATTTAACTTAATTAAATGTTCAGTTTTTGTATCAATTTACGAATAAATTACGGATATCAAAACTTAGTAATCTTAAAAAAATTTATCTTAATTTGTACTTGAACTGTTTTTGTTGTTTTTCGAAGAACATGCCCAGAAAAGTTAAAAATTATGGAAGACATTGCAATTTCGAGTTGCAAATACTCTTTCTTGGGAACAATCCTTCTGCAGTGGCGTTTGATGCTGTGAATGATTCACGCCAGAGGCCGTGAGAGCGACGCCGCCTTTGGTTCCTTTGCTCTTCGAAGTGAGTGACTTCCCGGGTCCTTCTCTCTCTCTCGAGAAATTCCGGAAGGGCGCTCATCGGGTTTCAAGTGTTCGACCCAAGAGCCCTTGCGCGGAGCCCTTCGCTTCGCGGCACCGTCACGTGGTACACGGTGGAGAGGGGGGCCCTTCTGCTTTGCCCTGCGTGTGGTGTGTCGGCAAGCGGAAGAATTCGAAAAAGCAGGAAACAAATTTCACGGTCAGGCGAAGTGTTTCAAAGCTACGACGTGGAGAGAGGCGTTGCGAGTCTGAGGGGTGAGGGAGCTACAGGCGACGTCTCTCGTCAGGTGCTTAGGCGAGTTTTGTTAAAACGAACGTCAGAGAGTTCTGGACGCCATCAGTAACATTTTTGTAAGACCCTTGAAGACATTTTTATCATTGTTTATTGTATTATTTTTTATTAATTTCGAGGAATTTGAAACCTTTTTCGAATAAAATTGTTCACTTTAGAAAGACGTAAGTTAATTTAGGAAATTAGTGTTAACGATTACGGCATTTCTGTAGAAAAATATTTACGAAGTATTCGGTTTTCACACCTATGGTTCGTGTTTCTAGGGATTAATTTACAATAGAATATTGTTGTATATAGTGTATATTCCCGTATCACAAAACGCGATTAACTTCGATGAAGTTGACACCCACGAAGATCAAATGTAATAGCTATTCGGTCATCAAACCACACTTATAAAATCTTCACATCCACTATAGGTTCTACTTGAGAATTCAGTTTGAACTGCGATTTTTCGTGTTTCTTACGGGAAAAGAGGTGCTAACAAGTTTTATATTTGTCATTATGTCTTCCATGTTGAACACGGTTTTCAAACGCGTAACAGTCGACGGTTATTGAAATCAGTTGAAAGATGACGCGGAGCAAACACGTTATCCAAATGTTTAGGAAAGGGATCTCACGAGCTGATTGCTGTTTGATGCAGGCACCAGTTGGTTGTTTTTCCTCTTACAGCTTTCGTCGTGTTTTTGTCAGGAAATATGATCAGCTTCTGAAGACTTATACTTCTGGTTATGTACCTGTTTTCCTGACTTTCTAGACTCGAACAACACGCGAAGCCGATTAAGCTTTGGTTGTAAGCCACTGCATTAAGCCATGTGTAACCTTGCTACTTGTCGGATTTGTTCAGGTTTTTGTTTTTTGTTTTTCTTCCTTATTACGTATTGAATGACGCGTGGAATGCATGGGAGTGTAAAACCCTCTGCTCATTCCATTAGTTTCAAATTACGCTTTAACATTCTAAATTCCACTGGGGAAATTTTGATGGTGATTATTCTCCTATTCTGACATTTTCTTCGATGTTAATGAATGTATATGCTTTTGAAACTTACATCCAAAGAATTTTCAAAATTTACAGAAACTATTTTGTTAGTGTGCAATCATAGTATCTTGTGAATACTGACTATTGTAGACTATCGTAGTCATTAAATGCCCGTTTGTTTGATATAAGAATTTCTTATTTCTTACATTCATGTTTATTCATTACATGAAGAAGAAAAAAGTGAGGATGGTTATGTATGATTGTCTCCAAGAAGCCATCATATTTGACATCTTTTATGGGAAATAAATAAAATGTCACCATTGATCTTTTCTTAGAGAAGATAATGCAATCCTCATTGCAGGTAATGAAGAAACGGACGGTGTCAAGACATTTTCAGATGAGAAACTATACTTTTTCCTAGAAAAAATTGTCCTCCCCCCCCCCGTGAAATCTGGGGGAGGACTGTGAGCGCGATTGTTTTTTCATGTTATTTGTTTGGAAGTTTTTAAGGGCTACTTCGACCCGAGAAGCTAGGATTCTCGTAATCCGAAGCGATCCGGATACAAGTCAGCATCAGAGTTGGAATAAGGCCCCAAGAGTCTCGGTCGACTGTATGGCCTCAATGGGAAAGAAAGAAATTTAAAGCTCCCGGAAAACAAGAAAGTGATATTTTTAATCGCATTACTTGATCCAGCACATTCCATATTTAGTAGCCTCAAAGGATGTGAACGAGACATGGGAATAAGGTATGAAAATGCAAAAATGTGTTGATGAAATTATTAAAGTTATAAAAGTTAGTAAAGAAGCTTGTCTTATCTTTTCTGAAATTATTGTAGACATTGCAATAAGATCGTTGGATTGTATCGTTTTTTAGTATTTGCACAGTGTAAAACGATATTATGCAAATTAGAAGCAACCATGGACCCTGTACAATTCCCTTATTTACCCCCATAATTGTGGTGAAGTATCGTTTTGCGATATAGGTATATCGTTTCTGTAGAGTTCGTACATGTTCACATACTCAAAAGTAGGTTCATGTCGTATACGATAGATGTAGTGCTTCATGCTGTTGAGTTCTCTATTAACGCTATCGTAGTTATTTTTTCTTATTTTTCTTGGGTTTTTAAAATTTTCGTTACTGGAGGCCATGGCACTCGTAGTCCAGTGTCGTGCAGTGTCGGCGTCTCGCAGAGGCACAAAGGAGCAGAGAGGTCAAGCGGTGGACACGTCGATGCGTAAAACGTTTCCCGCAGCGACGCGACGCGACGCGACCTTCGCGCGACCAAGCGGCGAGTGCGCGTTGCGGCGCCCACACTCATTCTCCCCTCCCCCTCCCCCTCCTGCGGTGGCGACGGCGGCTGCTGCTGCTGCACGGGCGGAGGGGAGCGGGCGCGCGCGACAGCCACGCGCAGCCGCGACACTGCGATCCTCGGCCTCGGACATGAGGCTCCGCGCCCCGCCCACCGATCGTCCCCGCCTCACGCCGCAACGGAGCCTCCGATGAAAACAGCTGTGTGTTTGGCCATTTGCAGACACAGAGGGGGTGGGGGTGGGGGCTGACCCCCTGCAAATTTTGAAAGGACTCCCAGAGTCTTACGTAATAGAACATTTTCGAAAATATGTGAACTCTCCGATAAAAATGACGAGTAGAACGCTAGAACATATAAATAATTTTGAAACTTTACAGTGAAGATATGTGCAAAGGTACATTAGTCTACCGATATTTTTCTACCGTAACTACGAGTATTATTGAATAGGGGTGTACGTTTTAAAAAAATCGGTTACTTAATAAATTACTAAATAAAAGTCAACCCTTAGTGTGCTGTAGTCATTATGTGCTTGTCTCGCTTTTTTTCAATTTTAAAATTGTAAGATTATTTATAAATTATTAGTTTTTAAAGGAAATAGCTTATAAAGGCCCGAAATTGCAAAATGATTGCATATTTTGAAGGCTAAAATGTGAAAAAGCTTTCGAATCTATCCTTAAAAGGAGGCCAATTTTGACTTTTAACACCTCGTTGA